CACATAACGATCGAACTCGGTTGATCTTATCACTGCTTATAAAACCATGAATCTATTACATACCATAACAAAAAAAGTAAAATATTACACACAACAGATGTTCCCTGCGAATTAACACTTATCGGGGAAGAATGTGAGCCACAGATGTGGAGTTATGTTTCCCTTTAAGGACTTAAGACAGAAGTCTAAAAATAAAAAATCTGTCAATATCTTGATATCACTATCAAATATATCATATTTTCTGTGGTCAGTATGTCCGAGCTTATAACAGATAGGTTAATATACAGTGGGTGTACTAATTAACAACTCTCAATAATGAATTTTAAAGTAATATTGGCGCGAGGAGATGGAATCACGATATTTGGTTCTTCAATAACCCAAATGTAATTGAAGACAGCGTGACGTCATGTCGCGTGAAATTATTCCTAAATAAATTCCGACTAATAAACAATTGGTTTAGAGTAATACTGGTCATAAAGCTGTTTAAGAATAAACCTTTAAGGCATTTTAAGCCAATCTCAAAAACCTCTCATCCTTCACCCTGTCCGTGTGAGCATAAACAGAAAATAAACATTAAAAGGGCGATCTGATTGGGTTTGTTGTTGTTGTTGTTTTTTCAAACTCCCCGTTCACGTAAGTCCTTTTGAGGGCCCAAACCCCTGATTCTTCAACCATTAAACGCGTCCTTGCATCCAAACATGCATGTCGTGTTGGCTATACCTTTAAAATGTGTTAATTTATGTCTGCCATTTATATCAAAATAATTAATTATCATATTTCTTGCATAATATATACCATCAATTGATAGTTCATAACTGTGATTAAATACATTCCTAAATATTCAATATATAACAGAGCGATAGCTTTATAGTATAGTATTGGTCAATGTATTATAGTAGCAAGAAACGGGAAATGAACCGCGGTTTGTAAGGACTGTTGTGGAATTTGGTGTTCTACTATGGAAACAGACGGTATTTAGTATTGGATAACCAACGTAAAGTTAGTTACTTGCTCAATATTGGACTTGTCCAATGTTGGTTTTGCCTAATTGGGCAAGCTTCATATTTAAATCTTAGAAACATAATTTGAACTCTTATGCCGGTTTTTAATATCTATACTACACCATGTCAATGTCTAAAGAATTCACATGCAAAGGCATCAGATATCACAGGCTAACGATGCACACTGGGCACTGTGTTGAATTTACATCTAAATATTGAATAATTAACTAACTCTCTAGCAGCAGGGTTCCCTACTTCTATTTACTTTAGCAACAGGGTTCCTCACTCCCATTCACTCTATCAGCAGGGTTCCTCATTCCCATTCACTCTATCAGCAGGGTTCCTCACTCCCATTCACTCTATCAGCAGGGTTCCTCACTCCTATTCACTCTATCAGCAGGGTTCCTCAACCCTATTCACTCTATCAGCAGCGCTCTCCTCACTTCTGTTCACTCTAGTAGCAGGGTTCGCCACTTCTATTCACTCCTGCAGCAGGATTCCCTACCCCAATTCACTCTAGCAGCAGGTTTCCGAACTCATATTCTCTCTAGCAGCAGAGTTCCCAACTCCTATTCACTCTAGCAGCGTGGTTTCCTACTTCTATTTACTCAAGCAGCAGGTTTTCTTACTCCTATCCACTCTAGTAGGAGGGTTCCTCACTCCTATTCACTTTAACGGCAGGGTTACCAACTCATATTCTCTCTAGAAACAGGGTTCCCCACCCCTATTTACTCTAGCAGCTGGGTTCCCAACTTCTATTTACTCTAGCAGCAGGTTTCTTCACTCCTATTCACTCTAGCAGCAGGGTTCCACGCTCTCGTTCACTCTAGCAGCAGGGTTCCACGCTCTCATTCACTCTAGCAGCAGGGTTCTCCACTTCTTCTATTCACTCTAGCAGCAGGTTTCCTCACTCTTATTCATTCAAGCAACAGGGTTCCCCACTTCTGTTCACTCTATGACCAGGATTCCGCTTGTATTCACGGTTAGCATCAAAGTTCCTCAAACCTATTTATTAAAACAACAGGGTGTTTTGTTTCCATTTATTCCAGCAGCAGGGTTCCCCACTAGCAGAAGGGTTCCCTACTCCTATTCACTCTAGCAGCAGGGTCCCCAACATCTATTCATTCCAGCAGCAGGGTTCCCTACTTCTATTCACTCTAGCAGCAGGGTTCCCCACATCTATTCACTCTAGCAGCAGGGTTCCCCACTTCTATTAGCAGGAGCACTTCTATTCACTCCAGCAGTTCACTCTAGCATCAGGGTTCCCCACTTCTATTCACTCCAGCAGAAGGGTTCCCCACTCCTATTCACTCTAGCAGCAGGGTTCCCTACTTCTATTCACTCTAGCAGCAGGGTTCCCCACATCAATTCACTCTAGCAGCAGAGTCCCCACTTCTATTCACTCCAGCAGCAGGGTTACTCACTTCTATTCACTCCAGCAGCAGGGTTCCCCACATCTATTCACTCTAGCAGCAGGGTTACTCACTTCTATTCACTCCAGCAGCAGGGTTACTCACTTCTATTCATTCTAGCAGCAGGGTTCCCTACTTCTATTCACTCCAGCAGAAGGGTTCCCCACTCCTATTCACTCTAGCAGCAGGGTTCCCCACTTCTATTCACTCTAGCAGCAGGGTTCCCCACATCTATTCACTCTAGCAGCAGGGTTCCCCACTTCTATTCACTCTAGCAGCAGGGTTCCCCACTTCTATTCACTCTAGCAGCAGGGTTCCCCACTTCTATTCACTCTAGCAGCAGGGTTCCCCACTTCTATTCACTCTAGCAGCAGGGTTCCCCACATCTATTCACTCTAGCAGCAGGGTTCCCCACTTCTATTCACTCTAGCAGCAGGGTTCCCCACTTCTATTCACTCTAGCAGCAGGGTTCCCCACTTCTATTCACTCTAGCAGCAGGGTTCCCCACATCTATTCACTCTAGCAGCAGGGTTCCCCACTTCTATTCACTCTAGCAGCAGGGTTCCCCACTTCTATTCACTCTAGCAGCAGGGTTCCCCACATCTATTCACTCTAGCAGCAGGGTTCCCCACTTCTATTCACTCTAGCAGCAGGGTTCCCCACTTCTATTCACTCTAGCAGCAGGGTTCCCCACTTCTATTCACTCTAGCAGCAGGGTTCCCCACTTCTATTCACTCTAGCAGCAGGGTTCCCCACTTCTATTCACTCTAGCAGCAGGGTTCCCCACTTCTATTCACTCTAGCAGCAGGGTTCCCCACTTCTATTCACTCTAGCAGCAGGGTTCCCCACTTCTATTCACTCTAGCAGCAGGGTTCCCCACTTCTATTCACTCTAGCAGCAGGGTTCCCCACTTCTATTCACTCTAGCAGCAGGGTTCCCCACTTCTATTCACTCTAGCAGCAGGGTTCCCCACTTCTATTCACTCTAGCAGCAGGGTTCCCCACTTCTATTCACTCTAGCAGCAGGGTTCCCCACTTCTATTCACTCTAGCAGCAGGGTTCCCCACTTCTATTCACTCTAGCAGCAGGGTTCCCCACTTCTATTCACTCTAGCAGCAGGGTTCCCCACTTCTATTCACTCTAGCAGCAGGGTTCCCCACTTCTATTCACTCTAGCAGCAGGGTTCCCCACTTCTATTCACTCTAGCAGCAGGGTTCCCCACTTCTATTCACTCTAGCAGCAGGGTTCCCCACTTCTATTCACTCTAGCAGCAGGGTTCCCCACTTCTATTCACTCTAGCAGCAGGGTTCCCCACTTCTATTCACTCTAGCAGCAGGGTTCCCCACTTCTATTCACTCTAGCAGCAGGGTTCCCCACTTCTATTCACTCTAGCAGCAGGGTTCCCCACTTCTATTCACTCTAGCAGCAGGGTTCCCCACTTCTATTCACTCTAGCAGCAGGGTTCCCCACATCTATTCACTCTAGCAGCAGGGTTCCCCACTTCTATTCACTCTAGCAGCAGGGTTCCCCACTTCTATTCACTCTAGCAGCAGGGTTCCCCACTTCTATTCACTCTAGCAGCAGGGTTCCCCACTTCTATTCACTCTAGCAGCAGGGTTCCCCACTTCTATTCACTCTAGCAGCAGGGTTCCCCACTTCTATTCACTCTAGCAGCAGGGTTCCCCACTTCTATTCACTCTAGCAGCAGGGTTCCCCACTTCTATTCACTCTAGCAGCAGGGTTCCCCACTTCTATTCACTCTAGCAGCAGGGTTCCCCACTTCTATTCACTCTAGCAGCAGGGTTCCCCACTTCTATTCACTCTAGCAGCAGGGTTCCCCACTTCTATTCACTCTAGCAGCAGGGTTCCCCACTTCTATTCACTCTAGCAGCAGGGTTCCCCACTTCTATTCACTCTAGCAGCAGGGTTCCCCACTTCTATTCACTCTAGCAGCAGGGTTCCCCACATCTATTCACTCCAGCAGCAGGGTCCCCAAAATCTATTCATTCCAGCAGCAGGGTTCCCCACTTCTATTCATTCTAGCAGCAGGGTTCCCCACTTCTATTCATTCTAGCAGCAGGGTTCCCCACTTCTATTCACTCTAGCAGCAGGGTTCCCCACTTCTATTCACTCTAGCAGCAGGGTCCCCAACATCTATTCACTCTAGCAGCAGGGTTCCCTACTTCTATTCACTCCAGCAGCAGGGTTACTCACTTCTATTCACTCTAGCAGTAGGGTTCCATATTAATCCCTTTCTTATTTTTTACTGATTCATTTAGTACTTACATAATTTATCAAATTACAATATGACCTGATTTTACTTGTACTAAAATAGATACGTTAAAAATATATAAAAATGGCGTACACAGTCATATATATTATAAATTCCGAGAGATTCCGAACACCAGATTCAGCCGTGGTCACATGACAATTATCGGAAGCATTCTATTCATATGATACTCGATGAGCCCTTCCTGTTGAAATAGGATGTCACGAATCAATATTTGATTACATTTACATTCAATGAGAACATTTTTTGTATAAAAGTAATGAAAAACACAATAAAATAGCGTGACCAGTCGACTTACCGGATAGATTTCCATCCTACGTGACGTGACAATGAATCGAAGCCCTTGACCTTTGAAGTATGAGAGATAACGTGTCTTGGTAGACTGTTGATCGGTCACATCATACGTCTAGTTAAACATGGACACTTTAGCTTGTAAGCAGGGTAAACAAGCGCGTGTACACATATGTCGGCCACCAGTTATCTCACCCTGTAATACCGATCGAGTGAACCGCATGCCACGATTGTCTCTCATCTGGTGTATTTTGTCAGATTGGGAGCTATCTGTGCATTTTCTGACGTAATTAAACAGTACCATAGCTATACCCATGGATACACCTACGTCCGACGTCTACACGTAATAAACACACATTAATCAGCACTTGCTACAGGTTCATAAGACAAATACAGTTAATATGAAAAATATCAATGTTTTAAGTTCCAAAAATAGTATCTTGATGCAGGTGGTCTTTTGACAAAGTTATTAAGAAGAGTATTTTTTTTAACACAGGTGGTCTCTTAACAAAGGTGGTCTCTTTACACAGGTGGTCTCTTAACAAAGGTCAATATCAAAAGTGGTATCTTAACACAGGTGATCTCGTAACAAAGGTAAATATTGAAAGTAGTCTCTTTACACAGGTGGTCTCTTAACACAGGTTAATATCAAAAGTGGTCCATTAACACATGTTAATATTAACAGTGGTATCTTAATACGGTGGTCTATTAACAGAGGTAAACATTTACAGAAGTTTCTTAGCACAGGTGCTCAGTAAATAGAGGTGGTAACATTAGAAGGTTTGACTTAAACACTTTACATTCAGTCTGTGTCTTTACGGACACTCCCTGATGGCATTTATGGATTCTCAAATAACGTACATTACTCTTTTTTAATCGTTAGATTTCACTCGTAGATCGTACGAGGATCGAAAGGTTATGATAAAATTTATATCGTGCCACTATCTTTCTGTAAAAATGTTTTCGTCGATAAGTCAAATAGGCATTGCTATAGGTTAAAGGGGTTATTACCTAAGAGTAACCCAGTCATAACCCAATGCACCACTTCCAAAGAACGTAAAAGAAAGGCGCACTAAATTGTGTATTAACAATTATTTAAAAAAAAAAAAAATGTTGTCACTGTAGGATAAATCCAGTGACTGATGTTTTGTAGATGGAGCGTGAAGTAGAATACTGATAACGTATGGAATGCGAAAAGAGTATCGTAACCGAACACGCCTACACAAGAACCCGTATGATAATGTCTCGTTTCCAAATGTCAAAATATCAACAACAAAAAATCTGTATTCTGCAGGTGTTATCCGGTTGCACACAATCCTACATATGGTAATAATCGTGGATTTTGGTAACATTTGCCATTTACGGAAATATTTTTATTACTGAAATGGGGGATAAAGTGTAAAGTAAACACATCAAGTTCAAATCTGATGTATAAATTTTCGTTGACATGACAAACCAAACAATTAATTACACTATTTCGGAATCTGTATAAAATTGAGTAATTCCGAGGGAATGTCAATCCAACATGAACTGGGAATAATAGAAAGGTCATATCTGAAAATAAAAATGTAATATTTTAAACATTATATTGGTAACAGACATTTTTATAATTCCTGTAGGAACTCTATCTAAATCAGTGATTTATAACGAACTCTATCGTTATGAATCTCTGATTTAGATTCACCACGCTACAATTGCACGAAAACTTTTGATTACTTTAAATCTTTGCTACGGAAAGAAACCTTGATCATGAAGGCAAACAGTCGTTTTGATGGAGTGGTAGGGGTTTAATAGTTCACCTAAAATATACGTATTGAAAACAGTAGACCAACGGTACGTCATCAGTTACTGGAGCTAACCAACGGTAAGGCACCAATTACTGGAGCTAATCAACAGTAAGGCACCAGTTACTGGTGCTAACCAACGGTAAAGCACCAGTTACTGGTGCCAATCAACGGTAAGGCATCAGTTACTGAAGCTAATCAACGGCAAGGCATCAGTTACTGAAGCTAATCAACGGTAAGGCACCAGTTACTGGAGCTAATCAACGGTAAGGCACCAGTTACTGGAGCTAATGAACGGTAAGGCACCAGTTACTAGAGCTAATCAACGGTAAAGCACCCGTTACTGGAGCTAATCAACGGTAAGGCACCAGTTACTGGAGCTAACCAACGGTAAGGCACCAGTTACTGGAGCTAATCAACGGTAAGGCACCAGTTACCGGATCTAACCAACGGTAAGGCACCAGCTGCTGGAGCTAACCAACGGTAAGGCAACAGTTACTGGATCTAACCAACGGTAAAACACCAGTTACTGAAGCTTATCAACTCCTTCTCCCCATATAAATACACAAAGCATGATGTCACTGTACATACAATGTTATTTAATGAAATAATATATATAATCTTCATCCTTTAAAAGGCAATAGAAACTGGTAATAGTAATCAGATGTCAATTTGTCGTGTATCTGATAAAACAGCTAACGTTTTCAAAGTTTCACTCGATTGGCAAGAGTTTCTAGTCTTGTTTCATAATATATACATTGTATAATCAAAGCGAGCGTATGACAGAAGGCCAGTCATAATATGGGTAGCTTCTTTTCGTCCCCCCTATAGATGTTCAGATTCAAATGTACCTCACACGTCAATTCCGTAACTCGCAAGAATTTATTGCGCTTGAATTAAAAGCTAGTTACATAATAATCAGTAGAGTTTTGGAAATTTCTCATCATATTCGAATTCTAAATTTTTATCGACGTCCGCAGAATGAAAGGTTACATTTGTTTCGGTTTTAGACCAAAGCTACGACTTTATTGGTGCTGCATCATCTGAGGGGGGGNATTATTAATACGAATAAAACATTTATAAGGTAAAAGTATGGTATTACTCTGTCGCATCTAAAAATATTTTTCTTACCAGCAATGTTACATTTGATATTCACCACCAACCCCAATGACAAAAAATTTGGGAGACTTTGGATATGTCGCTGAATTCTAGTTATGTTTTTTGTTCTTCCTGTGAAAACCACGGTGTCTGATATTATTAAAGTAAGCACATACAGTGTTTCAGGTTGTGTAAGCATAAACGATGCATACACTTACTGATGTGTTAAAACTATATGTATATGCAACGGATAAAGCAAGTAAAAGTCTGTATGGCGGGCTGCGGTGGCAGGCGTCTGACATTCTGCTACCACTAGCCCTCCACCACTAGGTCGCGGGTTCGAGGCCTTCGTCGGGCAGTCGCCAGGTACTGGCCGTAGGTCGGTGATTTTTCTCCGGGAACTCCGGCTATCCTCCACCACCAAAAACCTGGCAGGTCCTTAAATGACCAAGCTGTTAATATGACGTTAACACAAACAACCCAAAACCAAACAAGTCTGTATACTGCAGTGTACGCTTTTGTAAATCCACTATATTTTTTTCCCGCGAAGGGACATAACTCTGTCGATACTAATGATAAATCAATACCCGTTCACATGTGGCGAGGTACTAGATGTTTGGGGTTTATCTGTATTTGACGGAAACGTGTCAGATCGGTTCGGACGATACAGGTACAATCTAATTAAAATTAAATGAATTTTTGAGCATAAATATAGAATGCATAACAATCGTGTAAACAGTATTTAAGCATTTAACTGCTTTCAGATGCGACTCATTGGCAATATGAATACAGTAGGAATTCATAATTTCTATGAACCGCATCTGAAAGCAGTTTTGATACTACATTCACATTTTCATGTATTTCTCTCATTTAAAAAAAAACGACATGAAAAAGAAAATACAAAAAGAAATCCAACAAGATTCACTTGAATTCCATACGGGTGAAATAACCAAAAGCACGAGCATTTTCCTGTGACTTAAGTGTTCAAGTACGTGGACACAACAAACGTGAAACTTCTTTTAATCAATTTGTTCCTTTTTTTGCCATATTTTGTATTACAACAATCATAAAACATAACTATATTGTTTGTTATCATGCTTATTGATGTCGTTTGTTATTGACGTGACGCCGCGGAGGTATATCCGCTAAATTTGAAAATTGAGTAATGCAGTCGTCACGGAGGGCAAGCTTGCCGTTTGTATATGTTGATATTAAAGGAATATTTTTTTTGTTGGTGTCACAAAGGAACTAAAAGTAAACATGGTATTGGTGGTCGACTTCATTGCGAAAGCTGGAATGACCGTTTTTTCTCTGGTCGTGCTACTTGAGCCGGGTGACACTCATAGCACTATTTCATTTTAAATGAAGCGGGAAGGGACGTGCTGTACGGTCATGAGCTAATGAAAGCTGCTATCTTACTTGTTGGTTTTAAAATTTATTTTAATTGCCGCCTAAAAATCATAGAATTGGAAATTTCAATGCAATAAGATCTTTTTGCTATGGTTTCTCTGTGGATTAGTCAACTTCCAGTCCTAATATATATATATACCGAACGAGATTCACGTGTGACTTCCTTAATGTTTGACTACTTATATAATTAGTTCGGTTCACAGTCTGATGATCTGAAACGAAGTCTACTTGGTTTAGATGGTGACAGTGCAACGCAAATGTAAATAAATGATAATGCAGTTGTCAAACTCAAACTGTTTAGCACGGTGTGTTGACCTCACCTGGCGTCGCGAGTGTTTATTACCTGGAGCAAACCGGACGTTGACGTTTGTGTTAGGATTTACAAGCGGTGGGTGATTGACACTAGCATTCGATCTTTACCCCTGATGTTTGTTTATCGGTCGAGACATCACTGCAGTCACTAACGTGAAAAAGAAGATATGGTTCTCGACATGTTTAGGTACATGCTGCATAGGTTATTGCCTTTAAACATTCTTTTCGCTAGTTTAAGTATACCTGTAGCAAAACATGGAATTTTAAAGTATGGGCTTGGAAACTATATAGTTAAAATTCGATTCACCCCGAACAAGTCTATTGCTCGAGGCGAATCCAACGAAAATAGATCTGGTCGAAAGGAACCAGAAATTTGCTTTATCCCGAAATCCCATATTTCAACTATTTTATTTTTCAAAAAGTGACGTTCTAATAGGATTTTCCGGAAACGTACCGAGAGCCATACTTAATCTGGCAATATCGGGTGCGCTGTGGTCTCAAGATAGATACCACTTTGTTAAGGTCTAGTCAGTAAAAGTAAAAGAGAGTTAATCTGCATCCCGAATACTGCCGAGGGAGTTAGTCAGCAGGGAAGTCTTACACATGTAGCTTACAGACTAACACACGGCTAATAGAAAAACCAGTATGTAAACAATTATTTTTATACAGAGTGAATTGAGTAGATGTCCAATAAATATCATCTGCTTTAACTTTATGATGCTTTTTGGATTACCTTTTCTCGAAACAAAAGTATACAAGTGCCGCTTAAATCGAATAACATCTCTTAAAGTATGATACAAATTGATCCATGAAAGCATGTTACTACAAATGGAGACACTGCTACCACTAGATGTTTTACTGATCCCTCAGATTCTTATCTGACTGTGATATACTCCCTGGTTGCTCGAGTTAAGAATATAATAGTATCTTAAATTTTAAGATTAAGCATTCCAGCCATAAACATATAAGGTTTAAAAGGTCAAGCACATGTGATATTTATTAAAATGACAAGATGAAACAGCTTCATACATGTAGTAGCCAACTAGCTCCTTCATGGCTGATCAAATAAAACATGCTGAAACCACATAATCATATAAACATACAGTCTATACATCCTCTTCTTCGTTATCAGGTCAAATACCTAGACTCGTAACCTGTGGCTAGATGATGATAGGAGGACAATGATTGAATCTGACCCCTAGTATAATATATGACCACTTGTGGGTACTCATGTCATATCGCTCATCTGCACTGTGATATGAAGCTAAATAAATCGGTGAAGGTCGCGGAGAGATACAAGTCGTTTGGTAGCATTCTGTCATATTTAATCGCGTCTATCATATAAGGGAGATACACACGTAGATTATCAATGTAGTTACAAGGTAACTCATGGAAGTTATATAGAGGGAACTTATGGTGTCTATCATAAGTGGGTAAGGTGCATGTTAAGTTGTAGAATACGTATAGGGTATATAGTGTGTAGAAATGGAGAATTTCGGAATTCTGCACAAAAATGAAGCGATTGCAGAAGAAACAGTAGAATTCAAAACTATATGTATATTGTCTTACACAATTAGATGTGGAAGGATGGTGCCATATTATTAGTCGACTCTTTCAACCCGCCGTCCCGATTGAAAACAAAACATGACAAAAAATGATCTTTATTAATATTAACAATTCTATCACACAAATAGAAAATACAAATCAAATACTTTCAAGACCTCGAAACACAAATCAAATACGGTCCAGCAACACAGCAACGTTGAACCCTTTCGATTGAATTCTATATAAACATACATAAATATAAAAAAAACGAGTGTTACAATAAAACATTGAATGTCCAAACACCTACGTAAATACCTATACTTTTACAGTTACTGCCCTACTAGTAGGGGTATGTGATCCTTTGATTTCCCGAGATTAGTCATGGTTCACGAGACCGCAATAAAGCAATAACCGTTGCATCAGGATTGAAGCCTTCATGGATTGTTGTCCGAACACATCGAGCGCTAGAGATGTACCGAAGGGAGACAACTCGTCGTACCAGAGTTCGAGAGTCTGTGAGAGGAAAACGACAGTAAACCTGGTTAGCTTGTGTGCGATCCATTTCTTTGTATCCCAGTCACGTGATGTGTTTAAATCAATCACACATGCCGTTACATAGCTGAGGTATAGTAATACATGGTAGGTAATTAATAATAACACTAGTGTTATGCAACATGTATATATAGTATGTAACATGTAAATAGTCATATTATGTAATACATAAATGATTTTACTTTATATATTTTGAAATATTTCTTTCTGTACATGTTAAATAACTATTGTAAACAGTTAGGCATACACCATATACATGACTAGTTGAGTTACATAATATATAAATAGTTATACTGTATGATTTGCAAATGAATTAACTATATCATAAGGTAAAACGTTATATGTATGAGTTAAAAGTTCATACTCCACCAGACACAAAGCAAACCATCGTTGTCAAGGTCTATTTCATTTCAATTACAGCCAAATGTTCGTATGTGTACTTTTAACCGAAAATAACTTTAAATCTACGTGTTTTGAAATCACCGTTAACAAAGTCTATATGGGGTTGTTGTGTATCAAGTGGCTTTGCGACTATAGAACTTTGTAGTGAGCGCACCTGTTTTATTTGGCACAAAAGGGCTTAAGTGCAAAAATACGATTCCACAAATGTATGATACTGAGGCAACGACATATCTCAGACTTTCGGCATACTATGTCAAAATGTAGGAGACCCACTGATTGGAATTTAACCCCTTAACGTCAGAGACACCCCGCCGTACAGGTAAGGCATACACATGTCGGCCTACGTGTGCTTTTTGAATGACCCAATGTAAACAATCAAGTCTTATCAATAGTCTGTTTACATACGAGTAGTGTAATGTATATGTGAAATACCGAATGAAAAGTCGGGATTACGATTGTTGAAGAAACGATTATATGAAAAGACCAGCAGGTTATACCATGAACATGCATGAACTCTAAACACGTACACTTGTGCACAACACTGGGTCATATATAACCCATTTACCTCCACACGAAGCAGTGGTCTTGTTCACACTACTGGGATTTTAATGTCAGTAGAAGATTGTCTAAGAACTGAACTTTCTTAATATATTAATAGCAATTAGCTGTCAATCAAATCTGCCTTAAAATGAAACAACAGGTTTTTAATTGTAAGACAAAAGCACCAAATACAAGACAATATCAACGATGGAATACGAAGAAACATTGAGTTCTTTCCAAACGAAAAAATCATTTTCTTGTGGGAAGTCACAAAGAGATTGTATTGAATCTTCACATATTGTACGAGGGCCATTCAATTGATTTTTCTACTACAATCCTTCAAATTACCCTCCTTAGCAGAAAACCACTTTCGCAATCGCGCTATCCATACTGGCGATACACAGATTGCATTATCAGTAGCACTTCTAGAGGTACACCATTGCCTATATAGCATTTATTTTAGTGAAGGAAACAGGAAAAAGTAAAAGGGATTTATATCTAGTGAATAAGGATGGGTGGTCAATCTGTACTTCTTTATCTTGCTTCAAAAACGCCTGTACAGTAATGTCTTTTTTGGAATAAGCATTGCCATAAATTAGGTGTATATCAATCAACCCTTTAATTACTTGGACGCTTTTTCGTGTATAATCTCTTGACAGGATTGAGTACTTTGTCTCTGTAAAACTTGGCATTGATAGTGTTCCCTTTCTTGCACGGTATCGGAACCAAGAGCCACGTAAAATTGAAATGCAAACAGTCTTTGGCGCTTTTATACGTCTTGCAATCACCGGCCTTTCTTGATTTATTGACTATTTTTGCTTGTTATTAATGCGCCAGTTGGTTTAAAGAAATTAACCCAGGTCTTGTTCTTTGTAAGTAACTCAGATAATATTACTGAGTCGTTATTACCGTATTTTTTCAACATATTTTTACCACATTCCAAACGTTTGACCTTTTGGTCAGATATCAGCAAATTGTGGATCAATCGGACCCACAATGAGCTATCTCAGTAACAGTATTATGAACATCACCCTTTATTATAACTTTCACAGCAGCAATGATCTTTGATGCTGAAACAACAGCCTGCCTGGCACTGGTTCGTCAATTTTACCATTCTTGAATTTGTTCACCCACCTGAAAATAGTTCAGAATGCTGCACAACTCCGCATGTGTCTGTTTTGGTGACACCGTGTTAATGCATTGGAGCGTGATTCAGATTAAGTCTCAAACTTAGTTTTAGCATTGAAAAATAGCCACTAGTCACGAATGCACACCATTCAACAATGAATAACTTGCTCAATTCTTGTTGGAAGTTGATCCAATTTGCACATACATTGTTCTTCAAACGCTTCTGCAGTCTGTCAAAACCACAGAGTTATAAATTGTCCTTACGTACGTACAGTGTAAACTGTGTGGTATGTGGCTTTATTAAATGGCACTCGTAGTTGCTAGACCTGCCATAACTGTAATGATAATATTTTCTAATGAAAATGAGCCCTCCAAAAACATATTTTTTGTTGAAAATGAGTACTACGAAAACAAAATGAAGAAGTACCTATTAAAGATATTAGTTGGTCAATGCCCAAATCCAAAAAAGTATTTTTTTACTACATACTCTATACTCTTTTTGCAAGACGTGAATTATAATTGGTTTCATAAATAACATTTATTTTTTATTCAATTTCTCTGAATTATTTTGTGAGCTTAATGTTATCGTACCAGCGCCAAAAACTGTAACTAAAAAGAAAGCCATACCGTGTGGAACCTTTACGAAAAGTTATGCCGATGAAACATATCAACAACAGCGTTTTTAGCGTAAAACATCAGCGTGGATAAACGACATTCCATAAACGAGACTTCAGATTCGTGTTCGATCTTTAACTAACTGAGCTTACAGCTCAACGTTACATCTTAACCAAATTAAAAGGGAAGTTGAGCTATATACGAAAACTCACAGGGCAGTGGAACGGGGATCCTTAAGGGAGCTGGATCCTATCGGTTAGCTAAGTTACTTAATGGGATCAGCCGAGCTGTTGGTATAATGTAAGAATAAATGAACGGGTATTTGTATCTATATACACAATCTTTAATAGCTATAGTACACACCACAGTTCAGAAATCAAATGCTTTAGAAAATGAGCTTTATTGCTATTATAAAAAAATAATTACACGGATCACAAATCAGCTGGCCTTATGTCGAAACTTGTGTCAATATATGTATACCCTCACAAAACAAGCTTAAAGTATGGTTTACTTGCTCATTCAATATTTTTAGCTGATGACTATGTATGAAATACCCTCCTAGAAGCCTGGGTGTTTGGGATATTACTTAGTTCGTCGGTTTTGACGAAAAACTGCTGCCAACAATGCATACTACACTGTGATCTCAACAAGAACCTGACATGCACTGATTTCCATTTGCTTAAAGGGCATTGCGTCTAAGGTTATCGAAACAGGTATGTTTATATTTTATTTATTAACCTTAAGTTAATTGGTTTCTTCAACAACTGATTTTAATTATCAGTGGTGGTGGGAGGAAAAACAACAAAAAAGAAGGTAACACTTTGGCGACAGCTCATTTTAATGCATATATGATTTAGACAAGGTTGATAGTTTACGCAAATTTGATCATTGGAGGTGTATGTGTGTGCCAAACATACATGATGCTGTTAGTTTAGTTTAACGTGGGTTTCCCATTGACAGTCAGTAATACTTAACTATCTAAAGCAGTAAAGCGTTATTGTAATTTGGTCCAATACTAGATGGCCGTATGTAGCGTTTCACGTCGATTTTGCCAAGTTCCAGTTGGCTTTTGTATTGACTAAGAATTGTAGCTGAAAGACGTTCAATACTAACATTTACCATTTCAATTGTATTCAAATCTAATAGAAAATTTCACTGATTTATAAAAATCAGCATTTAATTCAAATAAGTGTATGAATACAGTATGCTTATCTGTAAACAAAACAGAAATCTTCAAGGGAGGTTAAATGCTGTCCAGCATTACAATTATGACGTCATAATGATGAAACATCTCAGCTTCGCGTTGCACCTTGGCTAGGATTGCGTTTCATAATCAGTGTATGACATCGTCACTATATAACTCTACCAGAAGTTCGAATGGCATTCATATCGACTGTAAACGCGATGGCCCACGTGTCGACGTCATAATTATAACGTTAGGTACCACTGACCCTCCATAGAGGATAACTGTTCTTTTCATAAAAAAAGGTGTAGAATCTACGAAATATAATCGGAATGACTTTGTATATACAGATTTTCTATGAATCAGTTTTTTTTATTTGTATATGGTACATTCACAATCTTTATCAATAACATCGCATTGCAGACAATCAGGCGATATCAATCGTATGGCATTGCCACTATATAACACTACCCAATTCAGTTGTAATTCATATAGTCTATGAATGTCACAGACCGATTGTTGACGTCATCAGTATTATGACGTCATAATTATTACTTTTGAAACCACTGACCCTCGCTGGGCGACGGCTGTTCTGTTCATAGAACAAGCATACACGATAAATACATTATTTGAACTAAATGCCGAATAATAATAATATAATTGAGTTTTCTATGAGATGTACAGATTCCAATAATGGTAAATATAAGTATTGAACTACTTTCAGTTGGCATTCATCGGCAATCTGAATTCCAACTGGACATAAGAAAATTCAATGACGCGCCAACTAAAAGCAGTTGAATGTTTAAATGAAATAGGAAACAAAACTTATGAAGTATATATATCTGTTGAATAATGTTTTAAAAATATTTTTAAGTTAAATGTACATGTATTTAAATATTTAAAATGAATGAGATGAGTTGTTCAGATGAGTAGAAGATATATTAACACTGAGTTCAAAATATCAGTAATAAATGAAACAGATATATACATAATGTGACATGCATTTCTATTTAATAGAGATAATAATCTCATACAATAAGATTATTGAGGAGATATCGTAAGTCATACAGAAATCTTAATAACATTAAGACATATCTCCTAAAGTATCAGAGAAGACTTCGTTTATGTATAAAATGTCAATCTAGCATTTACAGGGCTGGGCAACTATGTACCCTTACGCATTAGTTACTAAGACGTGGGTTGTATATCCCGCTGTCAAGTAAATTATCTGATAATGTTTAACTTGACCTCATCCCAGATACGGGTACATGCGTTTGTATACAGCTGTGGTACATACAAGGCAACGTCTTACGAGAGCACAAAGGTTTTATGTTTAGTAAAGAGATCAGAAGAATTAAGGATCCCTGTCCCGCCGCAGGCGAAACGTAAGATAATTCCACCGAAGTTTCCTTAATTAAATTAAGAACATATATATCTAATAGGACTGGGTCATATATGTATGAGTACCCTTGACTGGGCAAATCAGTTGATTTGAGCGACCGCTAGAAATTGCAGGGTTAGAATCCAAGTCTGACCCCATTCCATTTTTTCACTCTCCTATTGAATAACATAGTATATTTCATCTATAGGAAGTTTAGCAAGGATTTATTAAAGCTATTCGTGCTAAAAATGATTTATAGTTAAACGTTTTAACAGTCGTACTGGAATCCTTAAGAGGACGTTTTGACCGATTTCGGTTCCTCCTGCTTTGATGTTTATTTTTCTATTTTTTTTTATATATAAATAGGGGTATTTGTTGGAGCATTCAAACCATCACCCCAGCCCAGCTCCATATTAGATGAGGATGCAACAAAAGAAGTTATAAAGTGTGGATCCCCCCTCCTATTGGAGACCCCTGATTCGCTACCGGACACCCCACATATGTAGTAACAAAGCCATGCTATCAGCTGGTTTTATCTCAATGTCATTGCCTCCCTCCAGTGTTACATATTTAGATTCAACCGCTTATGTTTTGTTTACTATATTTACTGATCAGGCCTGACTGTCTTACAACGTGGAGGTAAACGATGTCCCCACAGTGTAAGGTGACATATTTGTGTCTTTAGGCAGACGTTTGTGTACGAGAAAACTCTTTACTTCGACCATGGTGCATCGTGACAGTCTTTCAAAAGGTTAGTAGGTAATAGGGCATACACCTATCCATCTGACTGTCACTATTTGTACTGCACCATACTAAAAGTCTGAATTTTATATTGATATTAATTTTTTGGTATACTTGTAAGTATATGTATGTTTAATATAATACATTCTTAACTAAAAAAAAAAAAATTTACACGGGTATTTTTTCCCCTGTCGATTCGTAGTGCACAATAGTTTTTGAAAGTGAAAAGATGATGGTCTAAACATTTATGAAAAACTATAAAGTTAGTTATGAAATATTTTGAATATATGATTATATATAACTATAAAAATATTTATGAGGAACTATCAAATTTGTCTAAAATATTTGGAATTCAACTACACGTACTTAATTTTTATGAATTGCATATACCCAGTAACACAAGTGTGGCTAATAACAAATAGGATAAAACACCCAAATGAGTATGTATTTTATTAGTTTATCTTCCTTTGTATATGTTTTGTTGATTTGTTGATAACATCTGCGTCATGTGAGATAGCTAAGTACCATCCGTGAAGCTTGTATTACCTTTAGAGGACGCCACATAATGAATTCACGGGAACCGACGTAGGCTAAGTCATTTATGTTTGTCCTTGATTACATAATGGTATCACAGGGTGAGGAATTGGCGCGTGACATTTAGTGACATTTACTGGATTAGTTTATAGTGACCTGCCGGGGGGTGGGGTNACTGACATCTGTCAGTTAATTCTTAGATAATGTACCCTGTTGTGTAATACTCAAAATCTGTATTCTACTAAACTTATTTACAATCCTGAGGAGTGAAGGTGTGTGGGGTGGCGGGTGGGGTGGTGGTGGTGGATTAACTATGCAGTACGCATGTACGTGTATATGCCATCAGTATGGCGTGTAGAGGACAGAGTCTACCCCGTTTTATATGTGGATATTTACCCAGCTTTCTTGGTGTTAAACTAAGTTCAATTTGAACCATGCTGTTTGGCCTTGCAGAGTTGCATCTACGCTTTAAAACATAATTCCTTGCTGTCGAAACAGTTTTGTCTCTTTCTTAAATATACATGTATAATAAAAGTCATCACCTGTCCCGCTCACGAATGTAATTTTCTCTCTTTTGATATCTTCAACCATCTAGTTGTTCTTATAGGTAATTTGAAACTACACAATCTGAACAGATTATATATATTTTTTTATTTGCAACCTCCACTTCATCGTAAGGTCTGAAATCCCAAATTAATACTTTTGGATTTCTTTGTTTGTAACGCAAAGACAGTAGTACCTTTTTAGGGGCTCTTAAAGTATCAGTGTAAAGGAGGGACAATTTCACGCCCATTCTATTTCTTGTAGACGGCATGGAGCAAAGTGAAAAAGAAGTAGAGGAAGCTGAAGGCGAAGAAGAGGGAGGAGGAGGAGGAGACGATCCCTATAATCAAACAGATCATGGATGGGCTTGGATGGTTTTGTTAGGTAACGTTATAATATGCTGACACATTGTAGGTAATATTTACAACGACACCAAAATCAATGTATACTCTCGTAATAATCGCCCAGTAGAGGCATTTGACAATATCCAATTTCCAATTCTTTATAAGTGTATTGTAAGCGATAGAGGTAATTGATGTTACAATTCATGTATTATGCACAATACAGTTGTGTAATACAACGTCAAATTCAAATCTATTGACTCATTTTTAAGACGCGAGTTGCGAGCTTTACACGGTTCCGTAACTTTTCTGTACTAAGTAATTCCAATAGTTTATACATGGATGACTTGCAGCGATGATACGTTTTTTTTACACTTTTTGCACTGGTCAACAGGGGTTCGTTACAAATGTCTGAAATACACCTATTCTGTAGACCTACTGACACATATGTTACAAGACATACTGATATGAGTCACAGCACACATAAACATTTCAGATATTTGTAACGAATCTGTGCTCCGTCGCAATATAACTCACTTCAAACGCTATCAGTTTCACGCGTCTCGCATCCACGGTTCCTCAGTTTCCAACGACGACATGATAACTAACGAGGCTGTTATAGAATCTACCGACTTTTGTTAGGTTCCCATACAATTAACAAATAAATTCACGCCTGGATTCTTCACAAAATGAGCAAAGAGAAAAGTTCGAATTAACTTCCAAAAATAACTACCTCGTGGAGGGCAAGGTCGGATTTACGGTGTTCACTGTATTTGTCCATGCGCGAACTTTGTTCCAGGGAAAAATCGAAACAATTTCAAATCTAACTTTCAGCTCAGAGTTCTATTGATAAACTTAAATCACCCTATATACATATCATACGCAATTGTATTGATACTGAATGTGGAATAAAATTGAAGTGTTTGTTAAAATTTCAAAATATTACATTGTTTGCCAATTAGCACGCGACAATACGCTGTTCAAACTATTGAACGAAATTGTGTGGACTGTCGATAAGGCGGGCATTTTTAATTTTAAATATAAATTATAAGTTAAAAAAGAACATAAGAGGCAGAGAAAACGTAAATATAAGTATTGAACTGTTTTTGTATGGTATTTATGATCTATTTGAATGACACAGCTTTGCAAGCAAACAAACCATAATGCGCGCTATCATCGTCGTAATTATTTAGCTAATGGATGAACTTATTTATTAATTATATGGTTTATTTATCCGGATATTCCCTCAGTTGTCCGGTTTGTGTATTACACTTTTTATCCTAACATTGCTATCACTAATGAAGTGTAATTGGCCGAAATAGACATCCGGTAAAACATATCCGCACGGCGTATGTTTAGATTTCATGATTAATAAAATATCCCTTTCCGTCAAATCTTCACAAACGTTTTAGAACGAAATAGATGCAGTTACGTGTCTTTCGACACCTAAATTTTGATGTTGCAAAGTTGGTATGTCGGCGGAATCAAATTCATATAGGCATATCCAATAGCTTTCAATTTTATTTTTGTGTATCAATGTGGCTTAAAGGTGTTTTCTCCCCTAATTCTTTTCAGCATCGGTGCTTTAGACCGATCAAGCCGATGTCTGAAAACGTTTCATCAAAACCTTGAAGAACCAGAACTTGTAAAAATACCGATATGTAAAAAGTTTTCATGAACATTAGTTGAAAAGTTCAAACTGTATTTTACGGATTTTCTCTTTCAAAATTATTTGCACAACTCGCCTACATGGTTTAAAATGGAAACGATATTCCAAATCGACCTGTTCATTTGGTATTTCTTCTGTTTACTATTAGCCATGACAAAAAAAGACCATCATAATTATCGTGTTGGATTTATTTTAAATAAATTGGAATCGACTTATTGTCATGTATCGGTTGATTTTGTCTAGAGGAGTTATCTCGGCAAGTTAACTTTAGACGGAGGGTATCAATATGGGGCAACTGTGGACTGATGGATTCAGATATAAACGTATCAATTCCGTATATCGTTCCGTTTTACCTATTCCAGTCAAACAATTCGAGTTATCGCCCTTGTACTGCATTTCGAAAACACATATCTACTCCGTAACAATTGACAGCACTGTCAGGTCTAGTGCAACTTACACGTAGGTGTGAAACTGTTGGGAAAATAAAAATAAACCTTGATGTTGTGAAATATTTGACCCGGTTATATAGATAACGCAGCAGCACACCATAGAAATCAGGCTGCGTGTTTACCCAACAATTTCTATACAATCAAAGACTATTTGAAAAGAACCTGTTTGATCTTGTTTCTTTTACGCGGCGTTAATTCTCTAAGAAACAAAAGAATATATCTTTACTCGAGTGTTCAAGATTTTTCGAGGAGAGGGACAATCAACAAGTCTGAAAATTGGTTAATAAAAAGTTATTGTTAAAATGACGTATTTAGTTCCACTAATGAAACATTTTAAGTATGCTATATAATCTTTAACCTTTTATTTTGCAGCTGCAACGCTGGAAAGTTTCATGATTGTAGGATTTCTGAGGTCGTTTGGAATATTTTTTGTAGAATTCCTGAACGCCATGGATGCATCTGCTTCCGTGCTGTCGATGTCCTTATCCATACAGACACTTATGTTCAGTGTACTTTGTAAGTAAATGTAGTTCCGTGTACTATGTGAGTACATTATGTTCGGTTCACTGTGAAGGTACATTATGTTCAGTACACTGTGAATGTACATTATGTTCGGTTCACTGTGAAGGTACATTATGTTCGGTTCACTGTGAAGGTATATTATGTTCGGTTCACTGTGAATGTACATTATGTTCAGTAGACTGTGAAGGTATATTATGTTCAGTACACTGTGCAGGTATATTATGTTCAGTACACTGTGAATGTACATTATGTTCGATTCACTGTGAAGGTACATTATGTTCGGTACACTGTGAATGTACATTATGTTCAGAACGCTGTGAAGGTACATTATGTTCGGTTCACTGTGGAGGTAGTACATTATGTTCAGTACACTGTGAATGTACATTATGTTCAGTAGACTGTGAAGGTATATTATGTTCAGTACACTGTGCAGGTATATTATGTTCAGTACACTGTGAAGGTACATTATGTTCGGTTCACTGTGGAGGTAGTACATTATGTTCAGTACACTGTGAATGTACATTATGTTCGGTACACTGTGAATGTACATCATGTTCGGTACACTGTGAATGTACATTATGTTCAGAACGCTGTGAAGGTACATTATGTTCGGTACGCTGTGAATGTACATTATGTTCATTAAAACGTGAATGTACACAATGTTCAGTACAACGTGAATGTACATTATGTTCAGTACGCTGTGAATGTACATCATGTTCATTACAACGTGAATGTACACAATGTTCAGTACAACGGGAATGTACATTATGTTCAGTACGCTGTGAATGTACATCATGTTCATTACAACGTGAATGTACACAATGCTCAGTACAACGTGAATGTACATTATGTTCAGTACGCTGTGAATGTACATTATGTTTATTACAACGCGAATGTACACAATGTTCAGTACAACGTGAATGTACATTATGTTCAGTACGCTGTGAAGGTACATTATGCTCAGTACACTGTAAAGGTACATTATGTTCAGTACACTGTGAAGGTACATTATGTTCAGTACACTTTGAATGTACATTATGTTCGGTTCACTGTGAGGGTACATTATGTTCGGTTCACTGTGAATGTACATTATGTTCAGTACGATGTGAAGGTACATTATGTTCAGTACACTGTGAATGTACATTATGTTCGGTACGTTGTGAAGGTACATTATGTTCGGTACGCTGTGAATGTACATTATGTTCATTAAAACGTGAATGTACACAATGTTCAGTACAACGGGAATGTACATTATGTTCAGTACGCTGTGAATGTACATTATGTTCAGTACACTGTGAAGGTACATTATGTTCGGTTCACTGTGGAGGTAGTACATTATGTTCAGTACACTGTGAATGTATATTATGTTCAGTACACTGTGAATGTACATTATGTTCGATTCACTGTGAAGGTACATTATGTTCGGTACACTGTGAATGTACATTATGTTCAGGACACTGTGAATGTACATTATGTTCAGTTCACTGTGAAGGTATATTATGTTCGGTACACTGGGAAGGTATATTATGTTCAGTACACTGTGGAGGAATATTATGTTCGGTACACTGTGAAGGTACATTATGTTCGGTTCACTGTGAATGTACATTATGTTCAGTAGACTGTGAAGGTATATTATGTTCAGTACACTGTGGAGGAATATTATGTTCGGTACACTGTGAAGGTACATTATGTTCGGTTCACTGTGAATGTACATTATGTTCAGTACGCTGTGAAGGTACATTATGTTCAGTACACTGTAAAGGTACATTATGTTCAGTACGCTGTGAATGTACATTATGTTCATTACAACGTGAATGTACACAATGTTCAGTACAACGTGAATGTACATTATGTTCAGTACGCTGTGAAGGTACATTATGTTCGGTACGCTGTGAATGTACATTATGTTCAGTACACTTCGAAGGTACATTATGTTCAATACGCTGTGAAGGTTCATTATATTCAGTACACTGTGAAGGTACATACTGTTCAGTACACTGTGGAGGTACATTATTTTCAGGACAACATGAAGGAACATTATGTTTTGTACGCTGTGAAGGTACATTATGTCAGTACAATATGTATGTACATTATACTAATACACTATGAAAGTACAATTACGTTCGGTAAACATGTACTATGCTAGTACATTTATTGAAGACATTATGTAGTTACATTAACATTATGTTAAGTTCACTAGGTGGGTATATCATATAGTACAATATATAAGTACATCATGTAGGTAGATTATGTTTAGTACACTATGTAGGTACACTATGTATGTATGTTTTGTTCGGTTCACTATGTAGGTACATTATGTAGGTATATTTTGTTCAGTACACTATGTATGTCCCTTGCAGGTAGGGCGTAAGAATTGTACCTGCTGCCCCCAATTGCATGATCGTAAGAGGCGACTAAATTTGGGACCTTATCTCTTCTCTCCTTTCTAAATAACTTTCTTCTTCCTAATGTCTCCCTTGACAATGCCTCACTTTTGGCCATTTGTTGAGCGTTCGCCCCTGTGAGGAAGGCTTTGGGTTCTGTCCCCTGGCCGAGACATACCAAAGTCTTTAA